TGTGCAGGCACGGGTGCTTGCAGCCTTGCAACTGGCACAAAGTGAGTAGCCAGCCCGTGGCCCTTTAAGGGCTCCGGGGCCGGGAGGGGGGCAATAGAGATTACCTGGTGTTGGCCAGAGTGGCCTGCAGGGTCTGCTAGCTGGGTGCTGGCAGGCTTGCACCTGGCACGGGCACCGTAGCCAGCCCGTGCCCCTTTAAGGGGTCCGGGGCCGGGAGGGGGGCATAGAGTTTCCCTGGTGTTGGCCAGAGTGGCCACCAGGGAAACCTGGGAAGCCTTAGCCTCCCACTAGTTCGAACTAAAGGGCTACACAGCCCTTAGTTCGAACTAGCTAGTTCGAACTAGGCGTTAGTCCTCGTAAAATGAGGTTTACCTAGTTCGAACTAAGCGCTCCGTTAGTTCGAATTAAGTTCGAACTAACGGAGTGCTAGTGTAGCGCATAGGAAAGTTAGTTCGAACTAACGTCCGTTAGTTCGAACTAACTTTCTAGTGTAGACATACCCTGAGGGTACATCTACACTGCAGGTCAAAAGTTGAATGACGATATGAAATTTCAACTATGTCAATTGCATAGCTGAAGTTGAAGTAGCTTAATAGCAGGAAGTCAAAGGAAGAACACTCTTCCTTTGATTTTCCTTATTCCTCATAAAAGGGTTACAGGAGTTGGAGTAAGAAGTCCTCCATGTCAATATTGTTTTGAAATAACAGCTTGCTGTGTAGATGCACATTTTGTTCTTATTCTGAAAATGACACTAGACAATAATCACAAAGACTCTGCTTCAAAACCTGTTTTGTTCTTTAAAGTGAGATTTTTGGAGTTATGATAATGAGGTAGAAATAGCCATGTTTGGGTGCATTAGGAATACCATAGACAGACAGAGCCAATTATAAGCATGGCTAGGTTTTAATAGTCTTCCTTATTCAGTTCAGAGAAGGCATCTATATTCTGTCTTGCAGAAGTGAGCCCATTTACTTTCATCATGGGCTCACAACTCCCAGCTCACAGCTGTGTTCTCTACTGATCCAGGTCTGTTTTTAGCAGAGGCCAATTTGTACAGGATTGTGGCAGACTATGGTGGTTCTGTATTGCATGCAAAGCTAGTGGATTGACTAGTCAGTCTCATGGTTATTTCAATTGCAGGTTGGTAAAGCTTAGATATATAAAACAACTATTTCTTTAGTACTTAAATACAGCAAGAGCTCAGCTGTTGATATTCTGGTTTAAGCTTAATACGTGTGTATCTTTATCTCTTGCTAAGACTTGAATTTAGAGGAAGATTTGCTCTGGGATCTTTTGGGATAAGCAAGAAGAAACAACCTGAACCAATAATCTGATTGGGAAATAATGAAATTGATGGATCTTTAATGCCATTTCACAGACCCTATGTAAGTTATTTGGCTTGTTTAGTTTAGTCAGAGCTCCCACTGAAAGCATCACTGCTTGTTGACATGATTGCTTGGGATTGGATTTACTATTAACCTTTTCTTTATGGTGGAGCTTTATATAATAAACACAGTACAATGAAACCATGCAATGCCAAGGAAATCATAGTCAAGGATATCATGATTTACAAAGGTACCAGGGAATCTTTAATATCTACAAGAATAAGATGGAAAATCTTATTCTTCAGGGCTCCCATGAAATTCCCATGCTCACTGGGAGAGGAATATAACAAAAAGGAAGAGGGTTGAAAAGTTAAACTAGTGTGTGTTAAATTAGTCTTAAAGCAGGTATAAAATTATTATACATAAAAGACCTGACCTGGTTTCATGCAGAAGTCTCTGTGGCACGCACAATATGATGCTGATGTTAATGTACAGTGTACAGCCGATATTGGACAGTAATGTAAAACTGACATAAATCATCTGAATGAATGCTGCTGAATGATGCCCACACTCTAAGACTCCCCTTTAACAATGTCACAAATGTCAGTACGGAGCTTCCTTCAACATAATGACCGCTGTTAGCAGCAGAATCAAAAGTACAAAATTGTAATTAAAATCATCTTTGTTTTTAAAGGAACCATACACTTGGTTCTATGTGAAAATTTCTTGGAGAACTCTTAATCTTTCAGCCTGATGGGTTGGGCAAAACAAACATGGCTGGAGCTTTATTTTAATAAATTTGTGCCTTGGTTTCCAATAAATGTTTGCACTTCTATAGAGGCAGTGTAAATTCACACTGAATAGTGATTGTCTACTGAATGGTGATGGACTATGTCTACACTACAGGTTTTTTCCTGGATACTGCAGGTATCCTGGAAAAACTCCACTGCATTCAGGGAACACGTCTGCTCTTATGCTTTTTTTTGAGGAAGAGCAGATGCACTCTTTCAGAAGCCCTGTCTTCCTCCTCCCAGGAGGAAGAAGAGGAGGCTTTTCCAAAATTTGGCCCAGTGTAGATGGTCCAAATTTCAGAAAAGCATCTTCTGAAAAAACTATCGGAAAAAGGTACGCAAATTGCAGAGCACAATTTGCATACCTTTTTCAGATAGATCATTGTAGTGTAGACATACCCTGGGAAGCAAATCCATCACAAAGTTGAACACCCATGCGAAGGCCAAGCATTCTGGATACTTCTTCTGTAGTTGCCATGAATGACGGATTTTATTAATGGAGGGGCTTCATGTTGTGTTTTAGCTGTAGATCTTCAAAGCAGGGTACAGATTTCTATTTATTATTATTTTGGTCTTTCTTTCTAGACTGGGCTTTCAAACTGCTAACTATATCCCTGGCTGTCCAGTTACTAAGGACTTAGTTCGGATTAACTTCTGACTGCTGCATGTAGCCATGGGCAGTCAGTTCGAACTAAGGGGATTTAAAAATGGCGCCCGCCCAGGAACATGCAAATGAAGCCTGAGATATTTAAGTCCCGGGCTTCATTTGCAAGTTTAAATGCCTATATTAGCCACCCTAGTTCAAACTAAGGGGCTAGTGTAAACATACCCTAAAATCTGTAAGAATACAGGAAGTGCTACACTGTATTGGACAAGCAGTCCATCTAGCTCAGCATACTGACCCAGCCTTTGCCATTAGCAGAGCTGAGCATGGTTTTTTTTCAAAGTACACTTTGGACTTCTCTAGTCTGGCAGTTTCTGATCCTGCAACATCCATGGTCTGGCATGATTTTAATTAGCCTGAGCTTCACTAGTCAGGGGCATGGTCAAGTTTCATGTAATCCCATAAAGTATGTTTACAGCTATTAATCCTGGCTCTCAGTGTTCTGTGCAGTTACTTAGTTCTAATTTACCCCTAAATGTCTTCTAAGAGCCCAGTAATCAGTAGAAGTGTTGGTAATGCTGCTAGGCAATACTGACCTCCCATGATTCGGCAAAGTCTCTGGTTTGGCATCAGTCAGGTCCCAAGGGTGCTGGAGTAAAGATCAACCTGTATTTTTTGTATTTAATAATGGCTTTTGAACCAAACGAACACTGAAGGAACAGAATCTGCACACCGTGTGTGAAGCAAGCAGAGGAGTTTATTACAAATAGCGCTGTTGAGTGTCATATCGCTTGTTAGGGCTACATGAACACTGTCAAACAATAGGTTACCACTGATTATATAGGATGCTCAATGGGCAGATCAAAGTGATGTGGGGGGAGAAGTAAGATCCTGAACTCCATCATAGGTTCTAATTGTGAGGAGCAGACATCAGTGTTTCCAGTAAAACAATGATAGAGATGCAGCCCTGTTAGTCTGGTCTAGCTGAAACAAAAGACAGAACTATGTAGCACTTTAAAGACTAACAAGATGGTTTATTAGAAGATGGTTTGTTAGTCTTTAAAGTGCTACACAGTCCTGTATTTTGTTTCAGCAACACCAGACTAACACGGCTACATTTCTATCAGTTATCAACTATGTGTTAAGTGATTGTATGTCTGTCAGCTTCAGGAAGGTGTCTCTGAATGGATGTGATCCATCTGGGGATTAAAGTAGAGAGATTAGGAGTACTTAACAATGGCACAGTTATGCCTAGCAGCATTAAAAGTGTCATGTCTCCCACTCTGGGCTAGGTCTGTGTGTGGGGAGGAAGGGGGTTAACCATCATGTACTGTGTTTGTGTGGCAGTCTCAGACTCCACATTTAGAATAGGGATTCTTAACAGAATATCATAGCCTGCCTCAGAAATTTTCATCCTAGCCCAGTAAGAAGTGGAAGTGTTGGCAATGCTGCTAGACAATACTGACCTCCTATGGTTCAGCAAAGTCTCTGGTTTGACATCAGTCAGGACCCAAGGGTGCTGGAGTAAAGATCAACCTGTATTTTTTTTATTTAAAAATGGCTTTTGAACTAAATGGACACTTTTTTGGTTTGATCAACATTTTCCATTGTTTCTGTGAGAAAGAGAAAATAAAAATAAAAATATATGGTTTTGGTCAAAAGATTTGGCTTTCAAAGACTGAAATTTTTGACTGAACCTAATTTTTTAATCAAAAACTTTTTTTGAAAACCAAACATTTTCTGGTTTTATTTTGTATTGAAACTTTTAACAATTTTCTTTGGAAATTTTGAAAAAAAAAAGAAATGTGCTTGAGACATCCTGAAAATTATAACAATAATTAACATTTTTTATTAATTCTAGCTATTACTAGCTGCTTCAGAGGAAGAAGTAAAAAGCCCTGTAATAAACAATTATAAGGAAGCCTATCCCAAAGGAAAGTTCCTTCCTAACCTTACAGAGTTGAAGTGTACCTTGTGCCAAGAAGCATGTGGATTTATAATCCTTCCAATTTGCCCATTGTGTACTTTACTTTGATTACATAGAACTTCACTGTTGCACAGAAATAAATCAAAGATAAAGAAAAGTACAATATTGCTTGAGTTTTTCTTAGCAAATGGAAACAAAGTCTGAATACTGAAAGTTCTTTAATATCCACCCTATGGTATCCGGGTTAATTGCAAACTAATGTAAATATTTTCCAATATCCCAGCATATCTCAGTTGTGTATACAGAAAAAGTTTATAATCGGCACCATTAAATTTTGCTGCATCAAGCACAAACAGTATCTTTCAGAAGGTAATTTTGCGCAGATATAAGTACTTGTTTTTCTTAATACTTCATATATATGTTTATATTGCAAATAGGAAATCTGATTGAGATAATTAGAAGCAGAAACACCCAGGTTATGTGACTATGGTATAGAAGAAAAAAAGCCTTCATGCTGCGTTTGTGAACAACAAGTAGCCAGAGACAGTTTATTCGAGCAATATTGCAAGGGAAAAACTGGTTCGGATGGGGGTAAAAGCCCCCCCTCCAAGGCAGATCTTCGAATACAAGCAATTATGAAGCAGTTTATATACTGTCCATTAGATATAATAACATTAAACAATTAGTCTCCTTCTCATTACAAATACCAATGGCTAACAGTTATTTTAGTTCCACCCAGATACTCCTTATCTCAAGGACCCTGCCAGAGTCAGCATTCTATCCTTATCTCTGTATGGAGGTGAGAGGCAAAGGCAGTGTCTTATTACAGCTCTCACGTTGTCAGGCCACAGACTTAGCCTGACTCTTGCTCTCTTGGGGTATGTCTACACTACAGCACTATTTCAAATTAACTTAATTCGAAATAGTTAATTCGAATTAAGCTAATTTGAAATAATGCATCTAATCACAAAAACTATTTCGAAATAGCATTTTGCTATTTCAAAATAGCACGTCCACATTGAATGGACCCTGAACCGAAGTTGAGACTGCCTGGAACCAGTGCCAGCAGGGCATCAGGTTAGGACTTAGTGTGTGGGGCTGCTGCCTGAGGCTAACTGAGCTCTGTGCTTAAAGGGACCCTACCCCCACCCCAGACGGACAGTTCTCAGGGTTCTGTGCTTTCTTGTCTACCTCAATGAGGGACAGCAAAGCAGTCCTGTCTTGGAGTGCCCTACGGCTGCCAGCCTGCATGCATGCATAATAAAGTTTTCTCTTCTAGGTTTCTCTCCTGCCTCACTGATTTGATTTGACCTCCAGCCTCGAACCCTTCTGGGGGCTCTGTACCCCAGGGGAGCGAGATTTCTCCCTCACCCTGAGGGAAAGCGTCCACCCCAAGGAGCCCTCAGAGCCTCCCCGGTCCTCCCCACCCGGGGTTTGTGTCCCATTCCTTCCTCACCTCCTTCCACTTACCCCTCCCTAGCCCCCCTTCCTGATGTCAAATAAAAGACACGTATGTTCAAAAATAGAAACTGGGTTTATTGAACAAAACGGGGAGGGAGGATGAACCCCTGGGGAGACTGGGAAAAGGAGGTAGAAGAGGGGAAGAGAGAGGGTGTGAGAGGGGAGGGGGAAACCTGGGAAGAGGGAGCAGGAAGGGGGAAGCCAGGGGAAGAAGGGGGAGGGGAAGCTCAGGGCTCAGGGTTGGGGGTCTCGTTGGACCAACTTGACCCACTGTCGGCAGACAGGCTATTGGGCTAGATGGACCTTTGGTCTGACCCAGTACTGCCGTTCTTATGTTCTAAGCTCAGGATCGGGGGGGTCTCACTGGCCCAACTTGATTTTCATGCAAAACTGCTCCTGGGTTCGCATGTGGCCTTTGGTGGCCAGGCTGGCAGCTATCCTGCCATTGATGGCCGCATTCCTCCATCTAGTGCGGAGATCATGGACATTGGGGGGATCCCCCCGAAAACCTGAATAAAGTCCATGATTTCCACCAGGCAATCAGGAAACTAGCTTACTAGGCCATTTTTGATTTCTAAAATGAACAAAACTTAAGATTTATGATCACCTATTACAATCTCATTACTCTAGTGCAGGAATTTTAACCATATTCTCTATTTTGCATCACTCACTATACATATCCTGAGAGGCAAAGGGGAGACACTCACAGAAAAAAAATTATAGTTGTGATAGGGAGCAGCTTTAGCTATAGTGAGAGGGCCACATGAGTGGCTCTCCATCTCAGTGGACCACAAGACTGTTGTAACCAAAAGTCTCCCCTGATAGGATAGTTTTGTTAACTGCACTTGTGTACATAGAATTTGCAGTTTGCTGTCTGCACCCAATCAAAGCAGCGATACAGTTCAGAGGGAGTGTACAGCTCTGACAGTGTGTGCAATCAGTATGCATCTCACTTCACATGCCCTTAAAGTGCAGATTTAGTGTAGACATACCCTTTCTAACTAGACCAAGATGGCTGCACACAAATTCCCTTTTTCCCTTTTCCCTGCCTCCACAATGGTAACATTGATGTTACTGCCAGATTTGTCTATGGCTGCCTAAAGAGCAATATTCAGACCGGAAAACAACTGCACTTGGGAAATAAATTGACTACCTCTTAAAATTACTTGATCATGTCCTCACACATTACCCTAGGTGATGGTGACTGGGACCCAAATGCCGTCAGTGTCCTCCTGGATTACTGACTGTGCTAAGAAATTAATGAAAGAAAATGAACGTGGAAGCCACCTTTCACAGACATTTTTGCTACTCTGCAGAGGCAACAGTTTCCTTGCTCTATCCCTGGCAGAATATCCAGGCATGTATGCATCCTGCCTTCAAACACTTGGGCTGTGTCTAGACTGTATCCCTTTTCCGTAAAAGGGATGCAAATTAGACACATCGCAATTGCAAATGAAGCGGGGATTTAAATCCCCCCTGCTTCATTTACATAAAAATAGCTGCCGCTTTTTTCCAGCTTGGAGCTTTGCCGGAAAAAAGTGCCAGTCTAGACGCGGATCTTTCGGAAAATAAAGCCTTTTCCGAAAGATCCCTTGTTCCTTATTTTAAGAGGAATAAGGGCTTTTTCGGAAAAGGCCTGTACTGTTCCCCCAGTGCATGCCCCCATCACAGTGGGAGCCATCTAACCCCAGAGGGGAGGCAGAAGAATTTAGTGCATAGGAATTAGCTTCTGACTGTTAGTACAAAAGTTAGTATGCTGCCTTTTTTGAACAGCACACAAGCTTGCAATGGAACAAGTGAGTGAACAGGACAATTAATTGCCACATTCCCAGTCAGCTAGCCTTGAAATAAAATACTCTTATTTATTAAGGCTACCAAGAACAGAGGGTGGCTGATGATGGAGACATGGTATTGGCTAGGTCGTAGAACTAGTCTGGTGGGCTCTGGCCTCCGGCAGATCTCTGGAGGCATGCAGACTTGAGAAGGCTAGGCCTCTTGCATCTCGTCCTTAGAAATAACAACACTCATCTTCACAGAACAACCTGGAAAGTCTGAGGTTTCCCTGCTGACAGTTTTTGCAATGATTAGCCTGGTACAAGAACTCCTAGAGAGCAAAATAAAATACAAATCTGCTTCTCATATATGGGGCAATCCAAGACATTGGTTCAGGAATGAGTGGTTGGCTATATGCCTTAGTTTGTTCCCAGGTACCTTGTACCTTCCCTGTCCTACTTGTTTCAGCCTTACAGCTGGACAGATCTCAGGCTATGTCTATACTGCACCTGTTTTGCCCAAGAAATATGCAAATGAGGCTAAGTGTGGAAAAAATACAGAATGTCTTTTGCACAAGAGGGGGTTTTTGCCCAAAAAGGAGCAGTGTGGTTGGCTTCTTTTTGGGCAAAAGCCTCTTGCGGAAAAAGCGAGTGTTCATTAATTATGCAAAGGAGGCTCAGTGATATTCCACGCTTAGCCTCATTTGCATATTTCTTGTGCAAAACGGGTGCAGTATAGACATAGTGTCAATGTGTGACCCATAGGGCCTTATTTCAGAATGCTTCCCTGTTGTTTTTGTCTTCTTTTTTGAATAGCTAAGAACATTGTACTCCATCTGAGTCATGTTACTTCACACCGGATGGGGGGAACCAGATTGTGTCTTGTGTTCAATAGTCTTGAAGAAGATATTCCCTTTGGCATATCCCATGAAAAGAGTTAATGAGCAAAGAGTATGCCAATGTTCCAGGTGCTAGAAACATCAGTTAGGGTATGTTTAGACTGTCGGCAGAGGGATGAAGATTAGGCAGGCTGACATTGTGAATGAGGCAGGGATTGAAATATCCCACACATAATATGCATAAAAATGGCTGCCACGTTTTGCCGACTCAGCACTTTGTCAGCAAAAAACAGCAGTCTAGAGGGGGATCTGTCGAGAAAGAAAGCCTTTTTTGATAGATCCCTTATGCCTCCTGCAAGCACACAACCCATAAAAATGCAGTGACAGCCAGGGCTAGATTCTCAGCTAGTTTCACTGGACCTAGGCTAATTTATACCACCCAAATCCAGTCTCTACAATCCAGGAGTCTCATGTAGTCATTGCTTTGTCTAAGGGCTCAGAGGATAGTGACTATATCTCAAGTCATCAGAAGATGATGTATAGCCTGCTGTACAGTCATATTAGTATATTTTACAGAAAAAGTTATTTCTTGTTTCATGGTTTTCTTGTATTTTCCAACTCTCTCACAGGTTTGGCAATGTGGAGGAAGTATGGAAGTGTTACCCTGCTCTCGAGTTGCCCACATTGAACGCACAAAGAAACCTTATAATAATGATATTGATTACTATGCAAAACGCAATGCCCTGCGGGCTGCTGAGGTCTGGATGGATGACTTCAAGTCTCATGTTTACATGGCATGGAACATCCCGATGACAGTAAGTGGAGAACACTTGAGTAAAAGGGAGGCAGAGAAATATGCATAAACTGCCTAAATATGGGGAAACTTTTGGGATAGGGGGAGCCTATACAGGAAGGATGGGCTCCACCTAAACCAAAATGGAACTAGACTGCTGGCACTAAACACTAAAAAGGTTGTAGAGCAGTTTTTAAACTAAGAATTGAGGGAAAACCGACAAGTGTGGAGGAGCACATGGATCTGACAGAGACATCTATTTAGGGGAGGTTCTAATAATAGAGATGCTTTGTGTTCTAGTCAGGGAGGAGAGGATGGAAGTATGGGTCAAATGAAACACAACCAAATGAAAGAGTCTAACACATCAGGAAATGGCAGAGAAATAAATAGTGACAAATTATTAAAGTGCTTATACACAAATGCTAGCAGTCTTAATTAGAAAAAAGGGTGAACTGGAGTGCCTAGTTTTAAAGGAGGATATTGATATAATAGGCATCACGGAAACTTGGTGGAATGAGGACAATCAATGGGACAAAACATATCAGAAGGACAGAACAGGTCATTCTGGTGGGGGAGTGGCACTATATGTGAAAGAAAATGTAGAATAAAATGAAATAAAAATCTTAAATAAGCCAAAATGTTCCACAGAATCTCTATGGATAGTAATTCTATGCTCCAATAATAATAAGAATATAGCTGAAGAGATATATTATCAACCCCCTGATCAGGACAGTGATAGTGACTATGAAATGCTAAGGGAGATTAGAGATGCTATCAAATTAAAAAACTCTATAATAGTGGGGGATTTCAACTATCCCCATATTGACTGTGTACGCGTCACCTCAGGACAGGATGAAGAGATATGAAAATGTCTTGCTACCTTAAATGAGTGCTTCTTGGAGCAGTTGGTTCTGGAACCCACAAGGGGAGAGGCTATTCTTGATTTAGTCCTAAGTAAAGCGGCAGGATCCGGTTCAAGAAGTAAATATAACTGGACCACTTAGAAATAGTGACCATAATGTAATAAAATTTAACATCCCTGTGGTGGGAAAAACACCTCAGCAGCCCAACACTGTGGCATTTAATTTCAGAAATTTCAGTTAAACAGAAATTGAAAGGTACAGTGGCAAAAGTACCTGCAAGCTGCATGGAAACTGCAAGCTGCATGGAAACTTTTCAAAGACACCATAATAGTGGGGAAAATCGAAATGACCATAAACTTTGTCAAATTAAGTGTAAAAATAGAATAAGAAAAGCAAAAAAAGGAGTTTGAAGAACAGCTTTTCCAAAAGGGGCATGCTAATTTCACAGGTCGTAATAGGGAAATCCGCGAGGATTTAAATATCCCCCGCGGCATTTAAATAAAAATGTCCGCCGCTTTTTTCCGGCTTTTAGAAAAGCCGGAAAAGAGCATCTACACTGGCCCCGATCCTCTGGAAAAAAGCCCTTTTCCGGAGGATCTCTTATTCCTA